AAAAAAACTTACTTTAAGATGCTTCTTCAGGTTGGAGGTGGAGTCTTTGGACGCTGAAAGGAGGTTATAGTTGCTGGCAAGCAGAGGTTGCACTGCACAGTTATATTATATTTCTATTGTAGTTATATTTCGTCCCGCTCCCTTCTCTTTCTTTAACGTAAAATACTGTTTAAATTTCCAAGATATAAATGCATTTTTGCTCTGCTGTTGTTCCGGCTCCATCTCTAGCTCCCGCTGCAACTCTTCCAACTCCATTGACTGATCACGCACGCAAACCGCGCATTTTTTTAGTTTTCATATTGGGGCTTCTGGGAAATTTTGAGTTGCCTTAATTTATTTAGAGAGTGAATAAACTCGTGAAACAGAGAAGTATCGTCATGTAATCCATTGATTTCAACAATGTAACTGTATTCTAAATACCAACTATTTAAATTGTAACTGTAACGGAATACAGTTACTCATAATTTGTATTCTGAATACGTAACGCCGGTACATGTATTCCGTTACTCCCCAACACTGTATATATATATATATATATATAGGCCTATGTGATCCAAAGTAACTAGTAACTAACTACTTGAGTAGTTTTTTCATTGGATACTTTTTACTCTTACTCAAGTAACTTTTAAGATTATTACTTTTACTTTGAGTAAATATTTCTATAAGTACTTGTACTTTTACTTGAGTACAGTTTTTGGATACTCTACCCACCTCTGCTGATGTGTATGTTGATAAATGTTTATGTGAACAAAAACTAACAGAATTTTATTTTTTGGGGTGAACTAACCTTTTTAGAAATCATTCAAATATGCTGATTTGTTGTCAAGTAACATTTCTTATGATCAGTGTTAAAAACAGTTGTGCTGCTTAATATTTTGCAGAAACCATAATAAAAAAAATTCAGGAGTCTTTGATGAATAGAAAGTTCAAAAGAACAGCGTTTATTTGAAATACAAATACTATATATTGAAATCGAATTTACTATCACTTTTGATCAATTTAACGTGTCCTTGCTGAACAATAAGTTGTAACTTTTTATTTAAAAAAAATGATTCAGCCTTCTTTTCACCCCTTTTTTTAAAAGGGGTGAGAAGAGGGCTGAATATTTTTTTTTTAAATAAAAAGTTTTTACTGCTATATTCCACAGAAAACGTGACGTGTCAAATACCCATAGCAAAAAGTTTTCAAGCTATACCCTCAAACACCATGTGTATATGCATCCCCACCTACATATATACTGTCCTTTGTGGCCTGTTGCTCAGCAACACTTTCTCTGATTAAGTTAGCTGACTATAGGAGCAAGGATCCGCCTTCTGCATGGACCACCGGATCAGATCACAGTAATGGATCTGGAGCCACACCCTCAGCCCCGGTCCCGTGGGTGAGTTCCCTTCCCAGCCTTTGTCTCTCAGTCAGAGAGAATGTGTACCAGGACAACACTATTGTGCAACAGGGACATCTATTTTTATACACGGTAGCTTATGAGGGATCATGGAAAACTCACACTGTTGAATGCAGAAACGTCCCCGGGAAGACTGAAGACTTGTGTTTTCTTGAGTGTTGTTTGTTCCACCCACTGAAATGTGTTCAGATTTATTGTGAAGCTCCTTTAGGCTTGTATTTTTAATACACGATACATCATTAAAATAGTTCTTGTGACTTCCTTTTATGTCGTTTAGTGGGGTAAGTAGTGCTTCCATCATCATCTAGCTGTGTTAGAAGCGATTCCATTAGCACTTGTCTCCAGGCTCCCTTTAAGGAGGAGTTTCAATGGCCATATAACCAGTGCCATACAGTGCATTGGACATTATGAAATAAACAACAAGTTTATTTCATAATGTCCAATTTCATAAGTGGACATTATGAAATAAACAACTTTGCTCACTCTGACCACACTTCAACACACTAAAAACAGACAGACTGGAGCAAGAGTATTAGCTTATGTTGAAGGTGCAGTACACCAAACTTGCATTTTCATTTACGCATTTGGCAAACACTTTCATACAAAATGACTTTTTGACATTTTATCAGTTCAAGCTATCCTTGGGAATCCAACCCATGTCCTTTGGCGTTGTTGGTGCAATGCACTACTGTTTCGAAGTAAAAATTTGTCATCTAATGATGTTCCCATCCTCTTTAAATAGTGCTTGTGAAGTTTAGATACATTTTTTGTTTTGCTTAAATGGAGTCCGATTTAAAAGTGAGATTGAAAACTTGACTGAATTGTGACATTATGTTGGTTTCATTTGAGATTTTATAGTCCCAAGCAATGGGACTTTTGACTTACCTTTGTAGTTGACTGGGACATCCAGAAACACATCATGAGCAAATTGATTGTATCTTAGGCGTCTTGATTCACCTTTATTGATGGACAACACAGAATTTGTGTAATCTTCCGCCACCACTGTAGTGTTGTTCATATTAATGTAGGTGTTCATTTATTTGGAAGATTTTTGTGATTTTTGCTTACAGTGTGAGTACTAATCTTGGCATACATTGGTGTGCGTATGTGTCTCGCTGTCAGTGTTGAAGTGAGTGGTTTGTTGAGGGTCACTCTTGACCTAGCTACCCAGAATCGCCGACTTGATGTTAATGTTCTGATTGTTGTGAGTATAAATTAAAGCTGTCACAACCACTCAGCTCACCCACAGTGGTATATGAGATCTGAATTATACCGATTACACATCTTGAACAGCAGTGGGTTTTAGTCTATCATTAGTGTCACAGCGTGAGCCGTCCTCTTGTTGTGTGGATAAAAGTAGCCTTATGGAGAAACACACAAACTGTGTGTTTACACGGGCTACAGTAGACGTTCCAAAGATTAGACATGGATTAGAAATTGTGTTGTTTACAAAAATTTATTCATACAAATCTTACAACACTTTTTAACATTTAAAAATACCACCCCCTACGGAGCTATATGTGTTAATATAGGATGATGTCACTTGCTAATATTCACTTGTCACATATATAATGTTTCAGGTATAGATAAAACGTTCACATTAAGGCTTTCGGCACTTTCAGACATGTACACAACAGGCTGCGCTGTGTTCTGTCAGGTTTTCCAATCGTTGTCAAAAAACCCTCAAGCTATGCAACAAGAAACAACACAAAACCTAGCTATAGGCTTCATGGACCTTGAGCTACAACTAGTAGAGCTAACAGAAACACGTGCTTGCCACATTTACACACAATCATCAGCTTAAACAATCCAGACAATTAATACTTTTACCATGTACACCACTTCAGTAATAGATTTGATCACAATATATGCTGGCCATGCTTTTCAGCTCTAATTAAAGAATTAGGTTTGAAACCAAGTTTCGAAAAGAAAAGGGGAGGAACAGTAAAGATGGACTTTGTGAAATGGAACCTAATAGTTTGCAGCATTGTAGGGCCACTAAAAATTGCCATCCGTGATAAGTGGCGATTTTTTATCGTAAGTTGTCACAAGGCACCTAAGCCAAAACCCATATCATCTTTCATAACATCATTATGTTCACGCACGCATTCACTCTCCCACCCACCTCCCGCCCTTCCTACACGCAAACACACACGCTCCTCCTCGCATAACACTATCAGAGCTGCATCCATACTCACATAAAGCCTGGGGGACAATGCCAAATTGAAGAAAGATTGATTTCATGCCTGGGACAACGGTTTACATATTGAATTAGTGGATGAATAAGACCTGATTTCCATATCAGGAGAAATATACTGAATTCAACACAGGCTTAACCAAAATATATGATAAAAAAAAAAAAAAAAAGACAACAAATAGATGATTTTGCAGTGTGTCCCTCCCTAAGGGCGATGGGTGTAGTGTGCCTCATCTATACATACAAGAGAAAGGCTATCTTCAACATGCAAAAGCACTATCTGGCAATAAGGATAACGAACTTGACAATGGTCATGTTGAAGTTCACAAGTTCCTTCACTTTCGTTGGCCTCCCTATTCTCTCACATTCCCTCAGTCATCAGCACCAATTACAGATAAGCATTAACACAATTGATTTTTTTCTAGATCTACAATGAGGCGATGAATGAAACCATTAAGTATTCTTCATCCTATCTCAGCAGAATTGAAGAGCAATTGCGCCAATGAAGAAAGTTTCACTATCAAGTCATTGATGTGAGGGGACCATCCACCACATTAATTTCTTCATGGCACATTTAGTTTGAAAATTGTGGTGGCATGAAAAGATCATTATGTCATCCAATGACTTGCTATATTGGTTTAGCCTAACTGCAGAGAGCACATCCTAAAACATTCACAGCTTCTGCGTTACAATAAGGCATACAAACAAATTTGGTCAGAAATGACGCAAAAGCCATCCACAAAGCCATTAAAGACACGCAAAGAACTAAGAGAGAGACCGACACGCCAATTCCACAAAACGTTTTTGGAGCTTGATGGAGCAAGCATTAGAATGTTAGGGCTTGTTCAATTCTCTCGATAAAAATAGACTCCTGCTTCCACAGAGGCGGATCTGTGTGTCATTTCTGATGGAGGGACCAAAACAATGAGCATGGAAACATTGAACTGAATGGGAAACAAAGGACATGCATGTATAGCCTATATTATAAGTATGCATAGAGGTGATGAAGAAGAAAAAAAACAATAGAAAGAAAATCCACCAAATAAAACATGTATATCAATACTACAGTTACTCCAGTGTCATTTTTTTCCCCAGTTAGGCATTCTGGTTACTGGCTCCAATCACAAACACAGGCAGGACAATCACATTCCATCTGGAGAAGACTGGGCTAAGAAAGAGGGAATCATGCCAGCTACTATATATCCCTCTCCCACTCCTCCTTTTTTGGGGGGTCACACAACAGTTGAAACAGCCCTGTACTTTACAGAGTACGTCCGATACATCCCTGGGCAGACTTTGGATACAATAAGACTCTATTCTTTTAGCAGATTACAAAAATAAGTATAACATTCAGAACTTTGATTGTCTTTTTAAAATCTATTTATTTTCTGCATATGATGATGAATTTGAAAAGATATCAGGCGCATAACGTTCAAGGTGCACACTTTTTTTTTTTTCATCTTTTTTTTTTTCCTGATGGTTTTTGTTTTCAACATATATAGCTATATACATGAAACTGAACTGTTGGTCCACAAAGTATAACTGTGCGTTTCAAGTGCTTTTGTACAAAAAGAAAAACAATGTTATTAGTAAAATATTCATTTTAATGGCTTTACTTCATACATAAATACATGTTTAAAGAACACAGGCGCGATCCACTGATTAATCAGTTATATCAGAATGACTTTGATCTTAGGACTGAATGTACACATGGAGGGGCAGTTGGGGGCAGTTTTGTCAGCGCTACAAATAAGCAAATCGACGTCCTTTGTTTTTAACTCTCTGTCTGTACCTTCTTCCCAGGACGGCTGCTAAATACTTCTTGACGGCCATCTGTTTTCGGTAGCGACTGTAAATGTCGGTGAAGATCCCATCCGAATGCCTTTTTGATAAAGGTTCCGATTCGTCTTCCTCGCTGCTTCCTCCGCTGCAAATATATGAACTATTATTAGGCTACCGGCTGGCACAGGAAATGTGTGAACAGGTTTCAGTAGGCAGCTTAAACGCTCTTGATGATCCAAACATATATAGCCTATATATTAATTCTATTGTTCCAGAAAAAAATTATCGAGAGCATTTTTTTCGTTAACATTACAACGAATTTTATTAGAAATCGAAATAAGAGCAGACAATCCTCATAAATTATGCATGTTGGAAATTATGTATTCTGACGCATTGGCTCTCGAAATTTTTTTCTCTGACAATATAGGCTACAACATGTTCGTGTGAGCACAAACAATTAAAAAATAACTTTCGGGCTAATTTATCGTGGTTCATCTACGAATAGTTCCTCATGAAATTCCACGCCCATGCGAGCCCACAGACAAAGACACAAGAAGTCGGGAAAAAATAAAGACAAACAGTCAAGACAGGACGACGAGAAATCAACTCCACTGAAATGAAGAGTGGGAAAACAAAAATGACGGCAGGTAAACGCTTAAAAATGCCCTTACCCTACGCGAACTGCCATCAGAGAATGCAGATATTTTCGTGCTGATAACTGAACCAGGATGTCCCTCAAGGCTCTATCTAATAATCCATCTGCATGCCTTTCCGTTCTGAGATAAAACGCCAAACACATAATATCAGTGATTAAAAACCACAGAACACGTTTGTTGCAAAGTAATCAGCCTGATTTAGTTGTATTCTTCTCTCGGCTAAACGCGTGATAGTGTTACTTTCGATTCCCTAGTAAATCTGTCAATCGATCCGTCTCTCTGTCGCTCCATCTATCTATCTATCTATCTATCTATCTATCTATCTATCTATCTATCTATCTATCTATCTATCTATCTATCTATCTATCTATCTATCTATCTATCTATCTATCTATCTATCCATCTATATTAAATAGTCACTTAATGCAAATACCAACAGCAACAATAACAGAAAAAAGCAAAGGAAAAAAGCTGGGAAACAAAAGGAACAGACATAGCGGAACAACATAAACTAAACATAATGACATCGATTCTCATATGATATGACATAGGCTACAGGGAAGTGATGTGAAATTATGTACCTTTTCTCTGGAGGATAGTATAGCGTGTATAGGTCATCCGTGAGAGATGGAGGACTTCGTATAGAAATTTGATCATTGCCAAAAGCCAGGTCGCTTAACGAGTTTCCGTCTTCGTCAAATACATCGTTGTCTAGTCTGGAATAAAAAAAGATTGATGCATTTAATAAATCACAATGTAATACACTAGAGTAATATGATGTCCATAAAAAACGGTGTTTTAAATACAGCCCAAATAAACTGCTAAATTAATTCCACCGTAAATTATAGCCAGTTAGTTGTTTTACGAAAAAAAAAAAAATTTGTGAGATGATACAATGCGACATACTCAAGTTTTATGGATCGAATTGATTTTAAATAATTAGTTTAATGACGCGGTCATATTATTGTGTTATCTTCATAGGGTAAATGAGAGAATAATAATCTATTTGGAGGTGTCCCTTCGCAGTTTAAAAAAACCCATACAAATATGATAACGGTATGTTTGGTATAATTAGCCAAAAATAAGATTTGATGGTGACGTGTGAAGGTAGGCTACTATACCTACTAGGTGATAAACCCAATAGCCTACACCTGACATTGTAATAATCATGAGTAAATTCACACAACAAAAGGTCCCGCACTGAACATTCTCATTCGTGTTTTTTTCTTTTTTTTCTTCTTCGGTTTGTACAGTGACGCCACTGTACCGTCATCTTACGGGCCACCCGTTACATTCATTGGTTTCTCATTTTCATACAAGCTACACTGCATCTGCCTGTCCCAATGGAGAATTTCCTTCTTAGCGATGCGAACGCCCTCCCACATTTGCAAGCAGAGAGCTTAAGCGCTTGCACTGTAGACCTGCATGCGTAAACTCTCGGGGGAAAATCTCGTTGGGGGCTGTTACTGTTTGAAGTCTACAAAATAATACAACAAAGCCCATATTTTTTCACTCTATAAAATTTAGTAGCATTTTTTTTTTAATAATAATAATAATAATAATATAAAATCCTTATCCATTTTTGCGCCTTGACACCGTGTCATTAATTTCTGGAGTGTTTAGACTATGCAATAAAGCTCGTCGCAGAATGTCCTTTTCAACGTGAAAGAAAATCTCAAAACGTTGAGAAGAAAAGCATATACATACCTCATCTTAGGAAAAGTCATCCCAATAGGCGTGCAGAAGGCGCTGTAGTGCATCATGATTCCGTAGATGAGCAACGCTAAAGTCGCTTTACTAGATCTGGCCATGCTGTAAAGACAAAAGAAAGTTAAATAAATAACTTAAAAATATCAAACACGTATAGAGTATAGATACGGCCCAGGAGAATTTACAAAAATTTGACGCCTATGGGTTTTATTCTATTCTATATGAGTAGCCTAATACGCAAAGAACTTATAAGAAAGCCTATAAAAATCCAGAAATGCAAAACAGGCGCGACTTTTTACTTGTCTTACTCGTATTTTCCGCTCGTACGATGATTTGAAAAGTTTAAAGAATGCCATGCACGCGCAACAGAATCCTTCTCCCGATGAGGCAAACAATAAAACCGGTAGATAATCTCTAGAAAAGAAAAATCCAGTTGCCTGGGCGTCTTCGTATCCTAATTCCTTGGTTTAAACCGAGTAAAAACGCCTTTGTCGGGTTTGAACCTACCTATTGCAGAGTAGGTAGATAGAAATGCTGTTGGATGCGACTCGGGTGCGGCTGTGGTTGTGTGAGAGAGATAGAGATCTTCCTCACAGCACCTCTTCCATGAAGCGCCACCGTCCTTTGCTTATGTGCTCGTCGTTTCAGCCCCTGCACTTTTATACAATAACCAATATACTACACAAAATCACTTTGGCAAACAAAACCTCGATGAAATAAGCAGCACTCGTTTGTCTACATATCCTTTTACAAAACTTTTTCTGCTGTGCTCCGATTACCTCGGATTTTTATCCATGAATAGGGAGTCTTGCTTTTTTTTCAATAAGTCACATTAAGTATGCCACAGACGTCATCAACCCTTCCTCCGGGGATATAATAGTACAGTTCCTTCCTCATCGATGAACGAGTCACACACCACATACACCTCAAATGGAACTTTCCTCTAAATGTAATTTCTGGAGAAAGGACAATTTGCAACTTTTTTTCAACTTGACATGACAATGTGACTGCCAATTAGGATCCCCGGTCCGTGGGTTGTCTCGAGGTCCCAAACCACATCAGTCACTACAAACAGACACTTAGCCTACTTACGCACTGTCGGGATGAGACAATAGAGGGTGGACACGATAACAAAAAGAGCCATGTTCAAAAACGCCAGATTTGTCATAGGGTCACTGGCTGAGCGCTGTCCACCAATGTGGTTCTGAAATGTCTTCGTGAATGAAAATAGCGCACACTTATTTTAAACTAGCGCTATATTTATCATTCTACCAAATGAAATTTGTCCCTCTATGTTTTTTTTTAAGAAACACAATTATTAAAGATTATTATTATTATCTATATCTATTAGGCCTATCTATTTTAATCTCACATGCGTCATGCAGTCCTTTCTTTGGTGTAGCCTACGGATATTGCGTCTGACATTTCTGATTCTGAATAATAGGCTTTTAGGCCTATATATTCCACTTATAGCCTATATAGTTTTTGTTATTTCAGGCACACAAAAGCAAACAAGTTATTGAGTCGAGCAGAATACGTGATTTTGTTACGATGCTATAAGAGCAAACTGGATCCCTTGTGTAGCCTAGTCTATTTACTGGCCTGTCCGCACAGAGATGACGAAGTCCAAAGTCGTGCACCACCATACCACGATTTGGTATGAATTAATTCATGCTTACGATTAGTGAACTCTGACGTCGTATGACGAAACTATAAGTCACCGCTTCGTACACTCACCCAGTCCGTACACAGTGCGTGATTTAGTTGAACAATGAATCCACGCCTTGGTTCCCTCTCGGTTTTTACCTCAACACTGCCCTCACGTGTTTCGGATTTGAAACTACATATGAAAAATAAGCAAAAGTTGGTTTCAGAGATGCACGATCACCTGTGGTTGTCTTTACTTTTAATGTGAATAGACTAAGCTATAATAAAGTACTATGTAAACACGCTGAAATAAAGAGATAAATAATGACAGTAGCTATAATCTATGGTTTCTCGAAGTAGCCTACTCAGGAACGTAGGCTACTGCTGCTATTGTTACCACACAACTTCTGTGCGCGATCCGCGAGGCTTTAAATCTAGCTAGTTTGAAAGTTATTATGGTTACTGAAACCTTGATGAAATGTTTATAGGCTACATATAGACCTATTTGCTAAATAATACAGAAATAGTTGCTACCTAAGCCTATAGGAACTATTGGTTCGTTTGGGTTAAAGGGACTTTGGTTGAAGCTATACACTTTTAGGCCTACCCCCATGATTAGCAACATTATGAATCGCGTTTTAACTTTTCTTCCACCTGCATTTAGCTATCCAAAATTACAACATTTGAGCGCAATTGTTCCTCTGCTTGCAGTAATAAGCGAGGAAACACTAACTAGCCTACTGTAAATTAAAGATACTGGAACACGTGCTATTACTGACGGTGTGTGTGTGAGTGAATAGAATAAATTATTTACAGTAAAGCTATTACGTTGCTTCCTCTGTGTATCCTGATGTAACCAATGATATTACGGTCAAGTTGAGTGCAAGTAGCCTATTGATGTCCCTAATTACAGAGGGAGGAAGTCGCTGTTTCGTCACATATTCGTCACCTGTGTCTCAGCACATTGTGGTAATTTAAATTTCCAACTGGTGATTTATGGTTTCCCTATGGAAGAACATGAACTCTCTATGACGCATAGCCTGTATGCACGCCTACAGCATACAAGAAACTCACTTTAAAAAAAAACTCACTATGACCAAATAATGTCCCCACAAGGACAAGGATTTCGGACCAGCCACTGAAGACTGCGAGGCCACAGTATAAACAAATAAAATATAGGCCTACATTTTTTTAGTAATGTTTTATTTCAATTGTTAAAAGAAAGAATTTTTATATTAAAAACATTTTAAAGATTTATCAATTTACAAACCCCCTGCAGTTCCTTCACAAACCCTTTTTTCTGTTTTAAGATTTACAGGAAGATCTAAAAGTAATTCAAAAGTAGTCCGATTATACCTAATCTAACTATAATTTTCATCATGTAATTTGTATTCAGTCAATGGACAAAATATAAATATATATGGTAAAAATTCATTTTTATGATCTACAGTTATCTCCATGAGCTATAGAAACACATTTTTTATTCATTTTGTAAATAAAATAAACAAACACCCATAATAAGACTCGTTAAAATTTAAAAATGCAAAAATATGTAGCCTACAGTGGATAGTGACAATATGTATTGTGTATATAGTTCACCCGAAAGGAAAATTACTGTGTTAAAAAAAAAAATCAAGATTACAGATTTTTAGTGTCAGTACTACTTTAAACTACTATATATAATGTTTAATATAATGTATTGCAGTGGGGGAATATTTGTGGGTCCTGATAATGCCAAATGTCTAAAATGTGGCTTTTACATTATTTTAAATATATCTAGTCAGTGAAAGAGTGTAATCATATTCGTCTGAAATAATTCTGTTCTCAGCTTCAGAATCATGAATATTTTTATTCTGGTGTCACCATTGTCCTGTGCATTTGGGGTACAGCACCAAGTCCAAGCCTATTCATTTCCACACCCAATGTAATACCAAATTTAATCAACAGTTATTTTTTGTTAACCTTTTACCATATGTCTTGGAGTATCGCAATAATATCGTATCGTGAGTTTAGTATAGTGATATGTATCGGATCGTGACATGAGGCTATTGTTACACCCCTTTATATATATATAGCCAACCGACACTATGACCAACATTATGACCATTCACAGGTGAAGTGAATATTGTTCGTCTCTTAACAAGGCCATATTAAAGTCTGAGTAGATTAAATGGTAAGCAAATAATCCGTTCTCGTAATCAACATGTTTGATGCAGGAGAAATGAGCAGAAACTTCGACAAGGGCCAAATTGTTAAGGTAACTGGGTCAGAGTATCTCTGAAACAGCAATTCTTGTGAGTTGCTCCCGTCTTCAGCAGTGGTAAGAATTTACCAATTGGTCCGAAGAGCTAGGGCCAAACCACAAAACAGCGACAGGGTGTTGGGACAGGCTCATCGATGCACGAGAGCACTGCATGCAGGCTATTCAGTCTGGTCCGAGCCAACAGAAGGTCTACTGTTGCACAAGTCACACAAAATTGCAATGAAGTTATCGGGAGGGATATGTCACAACACACAGTGTACCGCACTCTGCTGTGTATGGTGCGTCTGAACTGGAGCATTGGAGGAAGGTCAACTGGTCCGATGATTCCCGTTTTCTTTTACGTCACGTGTACTTGTTGTGAACGTGTGCGCCGTTTACCTGGGGAAATTGATTGCACCAGGATGCACTGATGACAACAAGCCGGTAGAGGGAGTGTGATGCTTTTGGTGCTGGGAACTTCTGGATCCGGCCTTTAATATGGACGTGAATATGATACATTCCACCTACCTAAACATTGTTGCAGACATCCCTTCATGACAGTGGTGTTCCCTGGTGGAAGTGGCCTCTTTCAGCAGGATAATGCACCCTTTCACACTGCACACATTGTTTAGGAAAGCAAAAAACAAAAATGTAAAGAGCTGCTGCTGGGGTATACAATCTTATTTTCCCGGTGCTCTTTGAATCATGGGGGATAGTTTTATTCGTTGAAAAACATGAAACCAAGGCACTCAAGGATAAAGAAATAAATTATTTTAAAAAATAAAGAAATAAATGGGAGCTGCGTTTGAATACAGATAGTATATGTAGCTAGCTACTTTTCATGCTTTTCGAGGTAAATTTTATGGCGTCACAACAGAAGAAAAAATAATTGGTGCTTCAAATGCTTTAAAAAAAACTAATCGTGGAATGTGCCCAATAGTTATGGGATGTAGGCTCACTACTAAACGTAAACAAATGCTAGAAAGCTGCATTGATTTAGGCCCACATGCAGGGGGCGCCATAAGACTGATCCAAAACACTATAAGCAAGAGCCGGCTAGTGTTATTGGGCTACTTATGTTGGCATCATACAAAGGTGAACTACGGTAGTATAATGCTTCAAATATCCCCGGCTCATGGTCTATCGTCGACTTGTCAATTGAGAAACTGATTTCTTCTTTCCGTTCACCATTCCCTGTGGCGGCCATATTGTGGGATGCATTGCTGCAAGTTAAACCAATTCAGAGCGGAGGGAGGGGGAACATCTGCGGGAGTCCATCCACTATTCCTAGAGCTGTCTTTTGTCATGTAGCATAGCCACACAATCTCTACCGGTTCCGGTTTAAAGGTTTTTGTTTGCCAGGACTGGTCACTGTTACTCTTTTCCTTTGACTGCAACATAAGAACAAAACCAAGTAACGTGACTGGATTAATAATATCTATCACGGATTTTCCCTCTATTGGGCACATCATTTATTTATCACGTCTCGTGAGGTGTTACATGGCAAAGGAATGGGACAGACTGTGATTTTCAAGTTGAACGCAACAATACCACTCTGAGTGCAACACCGAAACATTTACTGGGGACAAAGCGGTCGGAAGGCGTATGTAACCTCAAGAAAAGAGAACCAATTCGGCAAAGGTAAGAAATCAGATTCTGTTCCTTTGGTGAAAATCTAGTCAAATGGCCTACTCTCCTCTCGCCTTTGATTTAGTGTGAAATGAGTGTGGTAGTGCTTGGAAACAACAGTGGGCGCTTAGTTCCGCGTTTTCTCCCAACCTGAACACAAATCTCTGCAGCAGACGCGTTCTTGTCCCGAAACTAGTTGTATTTATCAAAAGAACTTTCGAAACCGTCCGACTACCTCGTTCGCTTCCACACAGATCGAGAAACGTGAAACGTGGCTCTTTAAAGTTCCCACCTGAACTGTAGAAAACATTGTACACGTCTCTTTCGCGATTAATCGGGCGTTCTTGGGAAAGCCAGTACTTTAAAACTGGTCAACACGCGCATTTCTATCTGTTTATGAGGACTTTGTGGACAAATGTCCACAATGCAGGCCTGTAGTTTACCGACACGCCACAGGGAACATGGGGCGATTCATACTTTGGACCAATGTGTGTGGTGGTGTGAACGACTCGCTTAGATACATTGTAAATTTTCATTCTCCGCCAGTAAACTATGTAACCTTCCGCGATTGAGTTAATACAATTTCAGCAGCGTTGAATGAAGTTTGAGAGGTGATCAGGTGTGAAATCTTAACAACAGACTTCTTTTCCAGTCTGTTCTTCTGTAGTTACCATCCACTCCAATTTATACTCACAACATCCTGGCATTTGATATCATTTTCGGTTGGTTACGTTGAATAATTAATGAAAGAATGTCATAACAAAGCCTAGTCCATGCGTGCGCAAGCGCCAGAATAATCCTCCTCTAGTAATCCTTCTGTGAGCACAACCTCTGCCCCACTGGCTGATGCTGACTTGATTCTGGGTGAAGGGAATGATGCCATCTTCAGCTCTCTGATGTGTTTTCTTTTGATCCTGTCTTCTGTATAGTACATGTTACTACATCTGGCTCTTGCAGGTTATGGCCCCTTTGTATGTTGAGTTGATATAATTCAGAGGTTAGGAACCATATATAATTTAGCCGATAACCATTATATTGGCCGATAAATCCAAACTTTTATATAATTGTGAAAGCCTGATTATAAAAAGTCTTACCATTAAAAGCGATGTCCCAAGCACTTCAACATAAATCAAACATATACAGTATAGTTAGCCTAGTTTGAACCAAGTTTTAAAATGAATGTTACACTCTATAGCCATTAGCCAACTTTCTTTTTTACACCCTATTGCCTTACAAATAAATAAAATAATGCCTAAATAAAGCAAACAAGTCACTGGACAACGTTAATGAATCTAATTGTATAATCTAATTGTGCCATGGATAAATAAATTGTAATAGCCTTCACACGGACAATAATTAAATTATTATAATTAAACTATATTGGTGAGGAAAAAATATGAGAAAACTAAAAGTGCTAGTTATTAATAATGCATCAATGTTTTTGAAAAAGAAACATATTTGCTGTTTGTGCCCTAAAGCTGAAGAGCATTGAGGAACCATAAACCACTGGGGAGACCATGTATATCTAATCAGTTAAGGGATTTTAGCCTCATGACTGTGTGCTAATAACAGTGATGTCTTTCTGAAGGCACTTCTGTACTACTGTTCACTAATGCAGAGTGCAAATGTTATTATGAACAGGCCAGTATGAATACATTGATTAAATCTCTGTGCCTATACCAAAGATGTGCTTATGAATATTCATGATTGTGGGTGCTGAAGGTATAAAGGTGATTATGGGTCTATACACCCCTCATGTCCATCTTCTTCTGTCCTCCCTCACCCCTTGCTCCAGCCTTTGACAGGCACAGCAGGTGGCTTTTGTGGTATGAATGGACTCGGAAGGAAGTTTGTCCCCCTCATGCTTGGCTCTGATTGGCAGCAGCAGAATGCCATGGCGATTAGGCCATTCCGCAGTGCTGTGAGTGTGCCAGAGCAACTACACTTAATGTTCAGCAGCCAGCTCAGCCAAGCTCCAGATTTACTAACACAGCGTTTTCGCTGAAATCCAGAACGTGCAAGTTTAGGATGAGGATTAGAGCTGAGATTCACAGATAGTTTGGGATTGGATCATCAAGAATGTCAGCAGTGACATGGTCAGCAAAGAAGTATAGAAAAATATTTCAGGCCCTTCACGATGGCAGTATAAAAACGTTCTTCCAGGACATCCACAGAATTGTTATTTAATAGGTTAGAACTTTGCAGACTGTGTGCCATCTTAGTAAAGAAAGTATAGGTATAACTTTTAAATTCAAGACTGTTGTTTGTGCTTGTCATGGGCATGGAATACAACAGAACTGTACAAGATCAGACTTGTATAGTTGGTTATGTAACATCAGTGCTGAGGTGACCTGCATTGAAAAAGCTATGAGGTAAGAGATCGGATCCCATTCAGATAGGAAGATCAACCCACCTGCCTGCTTGCCACCAAAAATCAGAAAACTACTTCCCCATTTCCTTGTTGGCTTGATTATAATGATAAAGGTAATGTGTTTGTTAAATGGATAGTTAATGCAAAAATGAAAATTGGCATAATTAACCTGACTTTCATTCTTTTCAACTGCAACTTTTTTTTCTTCTTTTTTTTTCTCCATACAATGAAAGTCAATTGGGGTCCAATGTTGTTTTGGACCCTATAGACCTTATTCAGAGCAGCACCATGACAGGTAGAAAAGCGAGGCTGTAAGGTGGAAGACTTAATCCCCTTTCACACAGAGATTCTGGAAAATACACGGATAATGTGTCCCGGGATTTGTCCCAGGATCGTTTGATTTTGGTTCATTCACACGGCCAGTGATTTTCCGGAATCTGTGAGTGCGTTCAGTTCACACACATCCCGTAAAGACACGTGATGTGATAACTCCTGTCAGATGTCAGTTCTGCTGATAACTCCTCTTCGTCACACAGAAGGCACTCTAGCAATTTTACTTTACTGTGTTTTCAATGGTGTCGGTCGGCTATAAAATTTATTTTATAAACCTCTTAGATCACTTATAATTTTCCACAGCTCATGTTGTCTGGATTTTTTTTGAAAATGAAATTTTATCGAAAGATAATTTTGCAGTTTCGTCAGCAGAACAATCCAAAAACACATTACATAACAGTGCAACCCACTGAAGAGATGTGTATCTCTCACAGGCCTTACAAAAATCAAAGTCAAGTCATCTTCCTTTATATAGCGCTTTTAACAATGGAGATTGTTTCAAAGCAGCTTTACAGAGATAAACACACAATTTACGGTAACATAGATTGTTTTGGCTTTATAGCGATTTTTGAATAATGTTATTTCCAGCTAAAGTTGGTTTTGATTGATTCACTTCCCGCAAAATTATCATTTGTTATTACATTAGGGGCCACTAAGACGACGGCGTTCTCAAAATATAAAACAGACTTTAAACGCGAACATGTGACCTGGTGGCGTTCACATGCGCATTAAAAATTGATTCTATAGTTAAATTCGTTTGAATATGTGTGCGCATGTTTGTAATTTCCCAACAAACCATGCCTAAACAAACTACTTGTCTTGCCTATAAATTTGATACAGAAATTTATTTTATCACTTCGATGTACGCGAACCGGATTTTCAACAACGCTTTATCTGTAGAGTGGTAGAGCTTTATCTGTCTTTGGTAGAGCCAAAGATGGCGCTGCTGTGAATAAGGTCTATTGAAATTGATTGTACTATGAACAAAAACAGTTACAAGAAACTATCTTTAAAATATCATCTGTTGTGTTCCAGTTTTGAGTGAACTATCCCTTTAACCCAGTTCATTGTGTAGTTTAGATGGAGAAAGTATCACCTCCAGTACTCATGCTTCAGGTGAGGTGATACAATACTAAATCCTAGTCAGTGTGTTAACACAATTTAGTGATCAAGACCTGGGACACGTACCAGTGCAGGCACCGAAGTACACATACATTCAAACAACAGGCATGAATCTCTGCAGAGCTCTTGATTTGTTGCCCTTAATCCATTTGATCTGACTAGTGCTGGCCTGAGGCCTTGTGTTTCATGTCATGTTGAATTCTGGTGCTCTTACTGTTTCATCAGGCCTGTGTGGAAATGTGTCTGACCATCACTAACCACTGCCATGATGATTGTTAGAAAGCTGACACGGTCATAGTTCCTCAAAGTACATTTCGAGGCTCTCATCAGCACTGAGAGGATAATGAGACGTCTCATAATTAGAGAGTTCATATCACTGAGTATTTGATTAGAATGTGGGTCAAATGATTGGTGCGTAATATTTCCTCAGGGCAGAGTGGTCACGTCATTACATGATGTCACTTATAAAGAGTGACATGCATGAATGAGTTGACCGCTGGTAGATTTGAGCAGTTTCATTTGAATTTGCTGTTGTTCAATACCATTTATTTTGGGGTCATTTTTAAAATGTTTTTGAAAGAAGTCTCTTATGCTCACCAAGGCTACATTTATAAAAAAAAATATATATATTTTATTTTATTTTAAAGTGTAATTAATTCCTGTGATAGAAAAGCTGAATTTTCAGCAGTCCAGTCTTCAGTGTCACATGATCCTTCATAAATCATTGTAATGTGCTGATTTGGTGCTCAAGAAACATTTCTTATTATCAATGTTGAAAACAGTTATGCTGCTTGGATTCTTTGATAAATAAAAAGTTGAAAACAACAGTATTCATTTGAAATGGATTTTTTTTAACATTATAAATGCCTTTACTGTCGTTTTGGTCAAAAATAAAAGATTTAATAATTATTAATTTTTAAAAAAAAATCACACTGACCTCAAACTATTAAACGCTAGTGTACATTTGCCCCCACCCTTGACAGGCCCAGTTGGATCATATGGTGTATGACCGTATGCTTCAGGGACCTTGTGTAATCCAACCTCATTGAATTTGATTCAGTTTGATTCCGATTCCTGTTAGCCTGGAAGAGTTCATTATGTTCTGTTGTAGTTTTATCGATCAGATCAACTAGTCACATATTTCAGCAGCTATTTATATTGCAGTAATCATGATGCTTATCTGATA